TGTTTTCTAATGTTTGGTATGACTAAGTCATGGTATGGTATGCTGTACATAATCAGGGAAACTGTCAGTGTGTCATTCTGTCAGTCAGTCATTCTGTCTGTCCCACGTTTTTCTACTCACTGACGTGGTCAATCTATGTGAAACTGCACATAGGCATTGAGGACTGGCATAGGTAGAAGGTGACAAAGCTACCAATGGCTATGGACTAGTGTCTAAAAATAACCAATCCAACCAAGAAAGGCACCAAGTATCGGCCAATCAGAGGGAGAGGAGGGCGGGTCAGACCTTCACCATCGCAGGACAAAGACATTTGTGTAGTGGACACAGATGAAACTGATGTCTCTACAGACATAAATGAAAGTGATGGTGCTCCAGTCACACAGGTGATACATCAAACTCTTACTGGTCAACAGGCCGCCCCACCACAGCCAGTCCTTCAGGTAGCCGTGACCTCCATCACCTGAACACAGCAACACAAAACTCATCATCAGGTTATGACATCATCAAGTCCTGATCATCAACACAATTAAATGATCACATTCTTTAATAAACATCAGCAGTATAAGAACACAAAGTCTCTACACATAAAAGCTTTTTGATCAACGATCCGTCGTCTGTCTCAGATACTAAAAACCAAATTGTTTCAGTGCTCAGTTTGCTGACTGAACTCTCAGTGAAAAGAATCAAAGTCTAAAAACCAGTTGAGCAACTTTGTGTTTGATCGCTGGTTTCACACAGAGTCCAAACTCTTTATCTCTGAATGTTTCTCTCTCTCGGACTTTACATCCTGGAACTGTAGAAACTCAACAGAACAAAGCTGAACACATTTTACTGACATGAATCATCTGAGTTTCACATTCCTGCTGATTGTTTGTACGTTTCATTTGTTTTAATTGAACTCTTTGGAAAAAAAAAAAAAAAAATCAACCTGCAGATAAATAATCTATCCTGGGGAAAATATTAATACTTTTTATTGACAAACAATTCATCCAAAAAATAACAGACAGATTATGAACACGTGACGAGTCACAACTGTTCTTTGTTTTTGTTGTTAACTAAACTGATGTGAGTCAGATTTGTTGTGTTGTTGTGACGTTTTCTCTGCAACTAAATGACCAATGAAATCTTGTCGACTAACGACCTCTGTGGTCGCCTAACGTTTGGTCGAGTGTTGGCGGGGCAGCCCTTCTTACAATCACATTACAGCAGTTAAATGTCTGTCTGATCAGTTAATGACGCACTGACAAACAAAAACAACTATTTTCACATTATTATTCCTGATTTACATTTTTGTTTCTTGAGTTTGATTTTTTACTGACAGCAAAGAAGAGTCGACATCGACGTGTCTGTAAACACATCAGTAACTGAGAACTTTTAACTCAGAGTTGGTCACATTTCATGGACCTAAATTTGGTCTTCTGTCTGACAGCGAGGCCGCGGCTCTGCTCACCTGCTCTGGTGTGTCCGTTGCTGGCCAATCGGAGGAGAGCTTTCTTCTTCAGAATGACGCTCCCACCAATCAGGAAGGCCGACAGCAGGGCCAGCGTCAGGCCAAGCCACGGGTTGTAGGTAACGTCTGATTGCACATCTGGACACAAAGAGAGTGTGTTCATGAGGGTGTGTACCTGTCGTCTGTGTGTTTAACGACCTTATCAAACCCTGAAGAATTTACTGAACCAGTTCCTTCATGATAACGAGACCAATCAGACTGTGTTAAAGGAGCAGTTCACCCAATAATGATATGAATGGAATGTAGTGATCACTGCCCGGGACTCGCTGTGGTCCCAGGAATAGGTTGTTTTCACTGGTGCTACAGAGAGCGGAGTGCAAAAAATAAAGTTGTGCAAACCATATAAAACTGGTGATAAAATGTCCAAAAAATGTTGATAATAATTAAAAATAAATGAAATTATAATAAAAATATTATTTTATTGTGAAAAAAAGATATGTTATGAAAATCTTCATTTAATGTCTGAAATACATTATTAAAATGTCCAAATAAATGTTAATACAACATCAGAAAAATATAATAAAAATGTCAAGAAAAAATGGTATTTAAATGTCTGAAATATATTTTTAAAAAATGTCTGAAAAGGTTCTAAAAATATTAACAAAATATCTGTCAAAAAAAATGTCTGAAAAATATTATAAGAATATCTGAAAAAAATAGTCATAATATGCCCAAAAAATATTATGAAAATGAAAATATATATTAAAAAAAATTTAACTGAATGTCTGAAAAAGATTAATAACATCTTCAAAGAAATGGTGATAAAATGTCAGAAAAAAAATCTGATAAAAATGTCATTAAAATGGTGGTGGAAGGAGCATGCTAACATGTTTCCTACCATGGCAGTGATTGAATGTTTTCACCATCCAGTCAAAGACACGGAGAACCAGCTTCATGTGAGGGACTGGAGCCGGGGGGGGGGGGGGGG